GAGGCACCGAAATCTGCATTCTGATTCGGTTCTAGTACATACCGGTTATGTAGGTACCGGTGCCATATTGGTACCGGGTTTCGGTACCCAACCCTAGTTAAGTGTCATTTTTAGGCTGCTTTCTCTCACAGATTGCATGTGGCTGTCTCTGAATCACTCGACACTCTCGAATGGATGTTTTGTCCCACATTTGTTCATAAAGCCACTTCCTCATGACTCCTGACGCGTCAGATTCACACGGCACCAGACATCACCAACATCTCCTGAAATCATCCTGGTGGCCTTGAGGTAATATTCCAGAGTTAACACAAATGCTTGGCCTCTCTCGCCCGATCCGTTGGCTTCCCTCTTGTTTGTATCCTTCATCTTTTATTGAGATCACTCATCTTCAGCTAAGCCGCATGCAGCTGCGCCTCTGCGTCGCTTTCAGGTGCACTTCACAGCTGATTCTTATTGATGTTTGTCCGACTGTGTCCTTCACAACGCCACTAAAACAAAAAGACTTTGAGAGGGAAGTTTGTCTTTCAGCGCACACACTCGTAGGAAGAGACGCATTTCTCTCTTTACCTCGTTCTCTCTCCGCTTTATTACTTTCTTCATCAAGGCTTTTACAAAAGCATTTATTATTACCGCTCGAGTATCAAGGGCAAAGACTGTTGAATGTTAAAAGTTTCAATGATGTTTTTCATGGAACATTTAAGATCAAGTCACACTGTTCTAATGCTTGTACACTTGCAAAAATGTTGAAATATGCTGCATCGATTGTATCAAATGATCATTTCATAATAGTGTGCGATATATACTATGCCACTGTTAGCTTTCAGATAGATAGATAGATACTGTAGACAGACAGACGATGATTGGGGTCAGTAAGACCTTTTTAAAGAAAATAAATTAATCAGAAGTGACAGTAAACACATTTTTAATGCATAAGAATCATATTTAAAATAAATGCTGATCTTTTGAAATTTCTATTCATCAAAGAATCCTTAAAAATTTTATCAACATTAATAATTATCAGAAATGTTTCTTGAGCAGCAAATCAGCATATTAGACTGATTTCTGAAGATCATGTGACACTGAAGACTGGAGTAGTGATGCTGAAAATACAGCTGCGCATCACAGGAATAAATTAGATTTTACAATATATTCACATAGAAAACACTTATTTTAAATTGCAATAATATTTCACAATTTATTGTTTTTACTGTATTGTTGAGCAAATAAATGCAGCCTTAGTGAGCAAAAGACACTTCTTAAAAAAATTAAAATGAATAAATATATAAAAAATAGACTTTTGAATGATTCTTATTTGTGTATCAAATTTATCTCTCCTAAAATTAGAAATAAAGCCAGATCAAAAAGATGTGAAAAAGAGACCGTAGATTGTAGTTACCAAATGAATGTGGATAATAACTCAAATTCTTTGTTTTTGAATTTGATGAGAAGAAGATTACATTTATATTGAGATCTCTGACTTTTGATTGCAGGTTTGGTATCTGAGCACAGTTTAAGACATTGAGATCTCTGCTGAAATTTTGCTGTCTTTTTCTCAGGAGGAACATCTGAGATGTCCCTATCTAATCTTATTTTCTAAGAGACACGTCTGAGATAATATAGATATCTCATTTCCAGACTTGAGTATAACGCGTTACACAGTATTATTCTAATTACTTTTCCTGGTAATGCAGTAGTGTAATGCGTTACATTTTAAATGTATGTAATTTGATTACAGTTACTAATGTCAATAAATTACATTACTTAAGTTACAAATGCAGTGTTAAAAATATGAAGTAAAAATCATATTTTGCGCATCAGTGTGCCCTTTAATAAATCACTGGAGAATGCGAGTTAAAATGCAGACGAGTCCTACAACATTTATATGCAATGAAAAGTTGCAATCATATTTCAAAATGTCGCATTCGATTTCACATATTTTAGTCTGGCAGTGTAGTTTGGGAAAAGTTCAACAAGTGAATGTGTACAAGTTTATGTCACAGTAACACTAATATAAGTAAAAATAAACATGAGGCATCAGAATGAGATCCTCCGCTGGATTAAGCCGCGTCGCATAGCGTTCTTCTTTTGAGGTAAATTCAAGGCTTCCTCACAGCGCGTCTTCTTCCAAAAATGAAAAGTAGCCGAGATGAACTTGAATCTTTCTTTGTTTACGGAGGTGATGTGGACGTTTACGAGCAGTGTATTTACATGGACGGTAAAAGGACAGATTCATTAAAGCTAATCGGCGGTCTGTGATGTCCAAACCCAGCACTGAGTGCCTGAACGAGACTCGTCCTCCTTTACCTGCCATTAACACTTAATTTAATCAGGGAATGATTGCACCTGATTTGATAGAATGTGTTTGACACTCTCTAATAGCCTCCGTAATCAACACGAATAAACTGTACAGCACAAAGCAAATTGGGAGGATTAGCATGAGACGATAACTGATTATCCAAAGTCTTTCATTTCTTGACGCCAGTAGATGGTGTTATTTATTTAAAGGGGTCATATGATGCTTTTTTAAAGATCATTATTTGGTGTAACAAAATATGTTGACATGCTTTAATGTTCAAAAAACACATTATTTTTCAAATACTGTACATTATTGTAGGTCCTCTACGCCCCGCCTCTCTCAAACGCTTCGTTTTCTACAAAGTCCCTCCTTCCGACAAGCGCAGTCTGCTCTGATTGAAAAAAAAAAAGTATTTATTTATTTACTATTTATTTATTTTATTTATTTTTTGGAGTGTTTTATGGTATATTATATACTAGACAATATTTACTCCAAGAATACCATGTTTTTGTCATGGTACCAGATGGTACACACAAAAAAGTAGCATAATACTACCATATTTACCATATAAATGCATGGTACATAAATTTCAGTATCATATCATATATAAAGTTCCATCTTTTACCAAAAAAAAAGTACTGTGGTACTTGATGGTATAAGGTAACTCTGTGGTAATTAAAAATATACCTTGGTAATGAAATTCCTTCAGTACAATGGTACTGCCATGGCATGTTTGTCAAAAATACCATGTTTTTTTATGTGACATGAATTCCAGTTTAATGGTATATATAAAAGTACCATCAAAAAATATGCCATGGTACTAAAGTCTGTGTGTCCAAAAACACAATACAGCTATGGCACCATGGCAGAAAACAAATAAATAAATAAAAATGACATATTGCTTTAGTACATGTGCAAAAAAAAATGTTTCTTTTGATTCTGTGTTATTGGTTTCTTTCCCTGGGAATTAAGCAGAAGCCACATGCAATATGTCTGCGGTTTGATCAGCTCCCGCTTCAGTTTAATCCAGATGCATCCAGACATCATTCAGACGCGCAAACACACACTTTAATATCTGCAGCGACTTCCATAATGTGATTTCTCCCGTCTCGCAAATGCATCTAGTTTGCAGAGTTTCCCTCCCAGCGTCTGATTGAGGAGCATTGCTGGTTGCGTTGGAGAATAAAGCCTGAAGGGTTTGATCATTAGAACTTAAAAGAAAGTGATAAAGGAGTTGATGCACTGATTTAAGCCGTCGTCTTTGTGTAAAAGGAGTTATACTACTCTTAAAAGCAGCGTCCCAAGTGACTGACGCAATATCCACTGTGCTTTTGTAACAAAGCGCACACGTGTATGCGCTTTAAAGTCTCGCCGATTGTTTTTAACGTCCTGATTTATTAAATACTCTCTCGCCCTTGCGGCCTCTCGTCTGACCTCGATTTAGAGGGATGGAAAATCCGACCGGAAATACCTCCTGTCCGAGCGAGCCGGGAACCAGAGCGGATCTGTGTTGGCTTGAGAAGCGCGAGCGGATCAGGACCCCTGTCGTGCAGGATGAAAGCCACCACTGGTCGAAGTGGAAAAAGAAGCGATTTCCCTCGTCTTCTGGAGTTGTGAAAGACTCCCCTCCCCGTGTCAGCCGTGCTCCCATGAGCCTCCTCTCTCTCTCTGCGCGCCGGCTCGGGGAGTCACCTCCTTTGCCAGGTACACAACAGGAGCACGGCTCCTCTCTGAGCCGCGCAGCGCTCAGCTTTTTCAGGGGAAGAAAGGGAAGACGGAAGATTAAAAACAGCCCTGTGATGTGGAGAGCCGAGTCGCCTCCTGAGGATTCCTGGCATAATAATTTAAATGATCAAATGATCCAGAGGAGACTTGTTAGCGCAGAAACAGCCTCCTAGTTGGCCCCATGGGCCCCTCGCTGAGACACATGCATTGCAAAACAGCTCCTCTGTAGTGCTAAAGAATCTCACCTTTTTATATATATATATACTATTTCTTTTTTGGTTGACTTTTTATCCTCTTCTACTTTGTTGGATTTGTCTAGATAAGTATTTGGGAGCAAGTTAAGCAGCTGAGGTTGGTGGCTTTTAGTGAGACGGCCTGATATGGAGGGAATATTTTGATTCGCTCTGATGTTTTGGTAACATTTTACGATAAGCTTCCAGTTGTTTACATGAACTGACAGTGAAACGCATTTTTTTACTCTTAGTTAATGTTCATTTCAACACTTACTAATACACTATTAAAATGTTAATATTATTTCATGGACCTGAGTTACCGTGAACTATAGTAACATAAAAAAATAAGAAATGTTAAAAATAAATAAATAGTAGTAATAATAAATGCATTTCTCATTGGTTAATGCATTTAAATTAAGCTTTAGCGTTAGTTCTGGCAGGTCACGTGAGTCAAGCTTGCATCAGCTGATTCTCAGCTGATCACATCTACCTATAGGAATACGACACCTATCGCGGCATTCCTATATAAGCTGTATTCAGTATTTGAAGTACAGTGCGTTCAATGGATTGAACTGTTTTTTAACAACATACTGATTGTTCAGCTGATGAAACGTCTTTCGGGAAGAAACTTTCAGTAGACAAAAACTCTACTGAAACACATAAAGCAGATATGTTGCAGTTTTGTCAAATGTGACTGTGCACTAATGTAGCTTTGTATCTCTTTATGTGTGCGTGTGTGTGTGCAGATCCGGCTCCGCTGCTGCAGGCCACACAGGAGCGTCTGGCAGAACTTCAGCGTTCGGCTCCTGACGGTGACGCTCTGGTCACAGAAATCTCGGAGCACTGGAGAAAACACCTGGAGTGCCTTGACAAAGCAGGTCAGAGCCTAAAACACACCAGAAACTATAACAATATGGCAATATAATAATATGCTCTCACATGTTCTCTAAACTGAAAACAACCATTGAGAAGCAGTTCTTCACTCACATAGTAAAAATGTCAAAGAATTACAAAGAAACGCAAGTAACACATTGAATTAAACTTGAAATATTTAAAATACAAAGACTAAAATTGTATTTTCTTGTAAATCATACTCCAATAATCCATTAATTTATTTTTTAAAACTTTAAGACTTTTGATTGACTTCTGATGTAAATCCCTTTAATCATAAAAAAACAGACTAACCATAACCTACAACCTAACCCTAAACAACAAACTTACATTTTTAGAATAAAATAAATGCTGAATTCAATGAATCACTTTTCACTTTAAATCTGCCCTCAAATTGAGTTTTTTTTTTTTCAACCATTTTATCCACCAAAACAGCAAATAAATGAATAAATTAAAATTAAAATGAGTCTGTCATTCTAATATGCTGATTTGCTGCTCAAGAAACATTTCATATTATTATCAATGTTGAAACCAGTTGTGCTGCTTCAAACCATGACCCATTTTTTAGGATTACTTGGTGAAAATTCAAAATTGCATCATTTATTTGAAATATGAATCTTTCGTAATAAATTAGAATTACAAAATTACAAAAGTCTTTACTATCACATTTGATCAATTTAATGCAAAAAAAAAAAACTCTTATTGACCCCAAACTTTTGAACAGTATTGTAACTTTATAATGAGAAATAAAATCTTATCTCAACACCAACTGTTAGGTTGCACTTGTTATTCCACAGAGAAAGTGGACTGGTTACAATGTAATTAATTGTGTTTAGAACACACAGAGCAGGGGTCTGTATCCGTGGAGACGGGGGAGGCGTCGTCACAGCCGCCCCACATGATGACACCAAACAGCACACAGAACGTCCAGGATGAAGACGCCCCGCTCCAGAATCACCAGGACCCACAGGAAGGGTACGTGACCCACAGGAAGATTCCACACAAAACTTACTGCATACTGTATTCTCAATATCTATATATCTGTAGTTCAGTGAGTGCTGTTCATTTGCCATATCGCCAATACTTATTTCTAGGGATGCACGATATATCGGCCACCATATCGGTTATCGGTATCGGCCAGATAAGAAAATTTGGCCGATATCTTAAAGCCGATAAATAATGCATTATTTCCTTCAGAGACACTTCAGATGCGCGCTGTTCGTTTGCAGCCTTTTGTGCAATTGTACATTGTAATATTGTGTTTATTTGATGTATATCTGATTTATCTCATATAGAATGCGTTTGGTTAAGTTAAAAGAGCGCTTCAGTTTACCGGTGATCATCTTTAGCTCAGCACACGCAGCTCAAACAGCAGTGCACAACATTAATAACTATGATTGGGAATGTCGTGTATATAAAATTCTAATGAGAACATTATTATAATAAAACATTGTGAATTCTTTGGGTTTAGTTGCCATGTTTCAGCACATCATTTGTCTAATTCTAGTGCATTCCATTATGGGATACCAAACTTAATTATATATTTAGAAACATTTAAAAATATATTAAAAAAAAAATTTTTTAAAGAGTTATTATGAATTATTTAATTTTTTATTAAATTCTAATTTCTTACATTTTTAATGTAACAATTTTGTGTAAAAAAGTTGATTGCAGTGTATTGCCTTATGGGATATCGCACCTAAAATGTAATGATTAATTAAATAACTGAATAAATAAATAAACAAACAAATAAAAAATGTATCATAAAATTTAAATATATACTGTATATCATTTTTAATCAGATTTTAATCAAATTTTGTGTTTATGTTCAGAATTGTGACATATGCAGATAATTTGTCTCAGTTGAGTGCACTAGATTATGGGATACTCTGTATGATAAGCAGATTATTTGTGTGTGCATTGCATTATGGGATACCACATCTCACACTGTGTGCTCTGTTGTATACTTCACATTTTGCATTGTTACACACTGTAGTAGGCTACTGTATCCATCTCTGGATAAGACACTTTGCAGAAATCGGCTGTGGCTTTCCAGAGATCCATTCAAGGGCTTCCTAATTTCTCAGCGGGGTTTCAGTCACTTCCTGTTCTGATCTCTCTGCTGTCTCGCCGTTTCCACAGGGAGGAACATGAATCAGACGTTTCGCTGCCTGTCAGACTCGGCCAGGCTGAGGACCGGATCAAAGCGCTTCAGTCATGTAAGATCCGTATCAAACAGTGAGGTCATCTGAGGCTTGATATGAGGTCAGAGGTCAATAATGGCGGCCGTTTCTCTGTCTCACAGCGCTCAACTCGGCCCGAACGGAGCTGCAGGAACTGAGGTCTAAATACGACAAAGAAATGACGGAAAAGTAAGACACTTATTCACTGTGGCCATATAATGCTGATGTGTTTCTGGTTTTTTGTATTCTCTGATGTTCATTTCCTGCTTCTGTGATTTCATCTCAAGCTACATGTTTGTTCTGTCATTGCAAACAACAGAAACAGAGCATCTTTCTTCCCTTGTGTTACGGTGACTTGCTGGTTTACTCACACAAAACCTACTTTTCCATTCAAGTCTCATCCAAAATTGAACCTCTCTGACCCTAGCTAAGTGTTTAAAGTTAGTTCTCTACCCGACCTGAGCTTGAACACTCTTTTTTTCATGCATATCCAGCTGACAAGTGTCCAAAATCCTTCTAAAACCCTCAAAACAGACTAAACTGTAATTTTTTTCCGTCAGCGGGGTTGAATTGGGTTTCTACAGTTTGTAATTAAAATTATAGTAACTTAGTTTTATAATAAATTTGTATTATTAATAAATTTTTAATAATACCTTTTTTTTTTTTATACTTCATATGCATGTTTAATTCAGTGAGTTGTGCATATCAGCAATAACTATTTGTATATTAATTTCTGTATTATTTCTAAATAATATTTTAAATGATAAAAATGTAAATATAAATATGAAAACAAAACAATATATGATATAAATACTTAAAACATAAAAAAATGTTATGTATAATATATAATTTATTCATTTATTTTATTTTTGTAATTATTTTTTTAATTTTAGTGCAACTCATTTTTGGCTATATGCATATGTTTGAGAATTTGTAAAAATTCAATTAAGATTTGGTTTTAATGTTTGTCAAAGTCGAGTCATGAGTTATAAATTTTTTAAAACTGGAGAGAAATGTGATATATATATTTTATATAATATATATATATATATATATATATATATAATTTTTTTTTTATCATATTTCAATTTAATTTTGTGCAAAAAAGTTTAACTATGCAGATTTTTTTGTCACAGTTGAGTGCATTCCATTATGGGATAAGGCATCTCACACAGTGTACAGTGTCACACAGTTATATTAACATTTATGTTTTTCGCTGATGCTTTTAGCCAAAGCGACTTAAAGGGGTCATATGATGTTGCTAAAAAGAACATTATTTTGTGTATTTGGTGTAATGAAATGTGTTTATACGGTTTGAAGTAAAAAAAAACACATTATTTTCCACATACTGTACATTATTGTTTCTCCTCTATGCCCCGTCTTTCTGAAACACGTCGATTTTTACAAAGCTCATCGGTCTGAAAAGCGAGGTGTGCTGTGATTGGCCAGCTATCCAGTGCGTTGTGATTGGCCGAATACCTCAAGCGTGTGACGGAAATGTTACGCCCCTCACCATACTGTGATGCCGTGTCCAGCTGGAGAGACGAGACAAAAACATTAAAACCCATTACAAACGAGGCATTTGTTGCATCCAGTGGGGACATAATTACTGATTAAAGTGACTTATACTGTCTTTTTACACGTAGCGAACACTCCAAAGAGAAAGGAAAAATTGAAATCGCATCATATGACCCCTTTAAAAAAACAGGAACTTTAAGTCCAAAAACCAACGATATCCTTAATAATCATTGCCAGGTTTAATAGACTAGAAACTAGATTAGGAAGCAACCTTGGAAGTAGAAGAAATGCACAGTTTTTTTACATTTTGCATTTTTACATACTACAGAAGTTAGTATGAGTAGTATGCTACTGTATTACAGTGTCAAATGAAATGTTTACCTGCTCTTAAAGTTTGACCTTATCTGTCAGGTCACAAGGTTTCATTTACAGGCAGTTTTTGGTCAACGTAATGCTCTTTCAGATCTGTCTGTGTTTAACTGTCCACTGAAAAGCTTTTAATAGATTTGTCCCGTAAAGCTCGTCACAGTCGTCTATGTTTCTAGATTACACCTCAAGTAAATCTGGTCCGGTTCTGATTGATAGACGGATTTAATTCAGTTCTGATCAAGTGGACATTTCAGTTTCTGCTCAGCTGACAGACTTCTGCTCGGTTCTCGTTCAGCAGCCGCCGATGATACGATTGCATTGACGATCTCGACTCAGACAGGCGGCAGACGGAGAAACTCAAAGGCCTGTGCAGCTGGCGAGTGCTCTGAACGGTCCTCTCCTCAGACTAAACTTCTCTGATTGTGCTCTTAAAGCGAATCTCATCTAATTGAGAAGGTATCTTTGTTTAGCGCAACCTCAGAGCCTCACATGTTTAATCAATCTTTCACTCCTCTTTATTCCGCTGCCTCTCCACCTTTTGAAAATCAACTCCCTGATGGCTGAGAGGAAACTGTTGAACTTCAAACAAACCTTATGAATAATCTCGCCGAGACGCTATTCAAATGAGAGTTCTCTGATTGTGCTGAAGCGCGCGCGTGTGTGTGGGCATGTTGGGATACGCTGATGCCGAACGCAGAGCTAGATAAGACTCACTCGACTCTAATGACAGCAAACCTTGCATTTTACTGACTTCAGTGACTCCCTTAAGAACTTCTGAACTTGTGTTCATTTATTTATTTCTTCTGTTTGAGCCTTACGAGGTTTCTCTGGAGAAAAGGACACTTTTTAGGCAGATGCATGTGTAAATACTGGAGTAGCTCGTTCTTTGCATTTGGAGGTTTTTGGTATTGTTTCTGCACTGTGATGTAAATGCCAGTGCATTTAGCAGTGTGTAATATTCTGAAAATTCAGTGATGGTGCAAGAAACACTGACTTCACATCTTTCTATTGCATCGTCTTCACTTGCTGCACTCAAAAAGCATGCATCACAACCAGCGTAGTCTGATTAACCAATCTTGGAAGGCTGTTTTTATTATTGAATCACTCAAGCTCCCGGTTTGAATCAATCTGATGAATCGTTCGCATAATGAACTTTTGCTGAATTCATAAATGACTCACTGAAGTCTTTCCTTTCAGTCGTGTCACACTAAAAATCAAGCTGGAAATCTGACTTACTGTGGTCTGTATGTTTAAGATTTGTGAGACTTCAGTGACTTTACTTACACATGACAACATACAAAGTTTGAAATACATTTTTCGAAATGTATACATTTGATTAAAATTGTAAAAAATAGTACAAACATTTACATGTGTGTATGTAATCTAATATTCTAAAATATATAATTATAATATTTTCATATATGTACATAATCTAATATTATATAATATATAATTCTGTAATATTGTACAAATATTACATACAATTCCACTAAAATAAACAGTAGGCTATTTTGTTGTTAGCACTTTTAGCATTTTTTATTTTAATTAAAAGTAATTGAATATTCATTTACACTACAAACATTATTATTAAACACAAAATATATTCATAAACACACTATTCTAGTTTTTATTAATATTTTGAATTAGTTTTTTAATTCAATTCTTAGTTCTTATTTTAATATTTTACCTTTTAACATCAAGTCAAGTAACCTTTATTTATATAGCGCTTTTAACTATACAGATTGTGTCAAAGTAGCTGTACAGCATTAATTAGGAAAATATAGTGTCAATAATGCAAAAGGACAATAGTAAACACTCATTTTTCAGTTAAAGACAGTTCATCATTGAATTCAGTGATGTCAACATCCAGCTCAGCTCAGTTTAAATAATATCTTTGCAATCATGTCAACGATAACGCTGGAAATGAAGTGTCCCCAACTAAGCAAGCCAGAGGCGACAGCGGCAAGGAACCAAAACTCCATCGGTGACAGAATGGAGAAAAAACCTTGGGAGAAACCAGGCTCAGTCGGGGGGCCAGTTCTCCTCTGACCAGACGAACCAGCAGTTCAATTACAGGCTGCAGCAAAGTCAGATTGTGCAGAGGACTCGTCTGGTTCCTGTGGTCTTGTCCCGGTGGCCGTCTGAGACGAGGTCTTTACAGGGGATCTGTATCTGGGGCTCATCTAGTTGTCCTGGTCTCCGCTGTCTTTCAGGGCTGTAGAGGTCCTCTCTAGGTGCTGATCCACCATCTGATCTGGATACAGACTGGATCTGGTGGCTACAGTGACCTCGGAATAAGAGAGAAACAGACTAATATTAGTGTAGATGCCATTCTTCTAGCGATGTAGCGAGTACATCGGGTGTTAAAGGTTTAGTCATTTTTGTTTTTGTTGTGTTTGTTAACAAAAGCGTGTGTTTTTGTTATTTAAAAAAACTTTTTTTTATTAAACGTGTATATATATATATATATATATATATGTATATATATATAATGTTTATAAAAATCAGTAAAGATTTGACAGCAAAAAGACACATTAAGCACAAGCTGACGGTTGTATAATTATACTAAAGGCCTTTTACTTGGGGAAAAAAAAAGTCTAAACGATCAATCAGACGAAAGAAGGCATGGAGTAGATTGTGTTCAACAGGTATATCAGCAAAGTGTGGATCGTTTTGATCATTTAGAGACCTTTGAAATTTGTGTATTACCGTCTAAATGAACCGTTCCATTTCTGACTATTATTTCACATGCTTTAATTGTGGCGCAAGTGTCTAAATATTTTTGGGGTTACTGCACACACAGGCTCCTCTAAAGTTTTCCAAACTTGTGTGTTTGATGGCAGAGAGCGGATCTGGCCCAGAGGGAGGTGGAGAAGCTGAGGGAGCAGCTCGCCAGCACTTCTAAAGGGACCGGCCCATCAGAGGAGCGACCCAAGGAGGTACGAATGACTCTCTCTTTTAGATGAAAGCCGGGGCGACTGCAAATTGCCACCTTAACACGTCCAATCTGCAGTGGAAGGAAATGATCAGTTGCTCCCACACCACTGGAACCTCATTAGTGGCTCTTTTGAGGCGCTGTGATTACAGGAAGCCAGCGAGCAGGAGCAGATTTTGAAGTTGAAAAGACCCCTCGTCCCCCTGATCTCCTTTCATTTGCCGTCTCAGGAGAGGGAGCGCGAGGAGCGAGACGAGACCTTGCTGTCCCGGCTGGAGGCGATGCTGTTTTCCAAGGACAGAGAGATCCTGCGACTGCTCGAGAACGTCCAGAGAATCCAGTTCACCTTACAGGAAGTCCAGGACTCCTCGGCCAATCAGATCGCAGAGCTGGAGCGGCAGCTGGCCTATAAGTCAGAATCTATAGAGGTGAGAGCCATAATATGAGGTCAGGATGTTATAGTTTAAAAGTATGTAATGTAATGCAACTCGATAATCATGGCTGCAGATTTGTTTTAAAGCGGCACACGTGCACATTTTCACATATTTTTGCTTGATTTGAATATGCTTTCAGCTGCTAATAAGAGTGTCATATGTATTTGCATATATGCATAGTATTCTCAGCTCCATTTAACACATTTTACCATGTTTACGTTGGCTTTTATCCAAAGCAACTTACACTGCATCCAAAAATCCAGAGATTCCAGCACTTTTGTAAAAGAGAGCAAAAACAGCATTAACAAACATAAAATTGTTGCCGTTTTTAATATTCACTAAGGATACATTAAAGTTATCAAAATATGTATCACTGTAAGATTTTGGTTTATAAAAGACTGGAGTAATGATGCTGAAAATTCAGTTTTGATCACAGGAATAAATTACATTTTTAAACATATTCAAATAGAAAACATTTATTTATTTAAAAAAATATATATATTTCACAATATTGGTGATTTTACTGTATTTTTGATCAAATAAATGCAGCCTCGGTGAGCAGAAGAGACTCCTTTCAAAAACACAAAATCGTACCAACCCCAAACGTTTGAGCAGTAGTGTTTGTTTAAAGCATCATTTTGATTTTATAAGAAACCAAACAAATCAGTCTTGCTCCACTTTGGTTGTGTTTTCATCTGTTGTCTTTCTGGACTGTAATGATTTATCGATGACCCATAATTAACATCTTGATTTGTGTCTTCACAGACGCTGGAGTCCAAACTACAGTCCCAGATGGATTATGAAGAGATCAAAACAGAACTCAGGTGAGGTTTTGCTGGAATGCATGTTATAAAGGCGATGTAGTACGATATCGGTGATGTTAACGGATCGTCGTGTCTCCTGCAGCATCCTGAAATCCATGAAACTGGCATCAGCCAACGGAAGTTCATCCCAGGTGAGTGAAGCAAGTGTTCTTCCTGCAGAGCTGTAGGGTTGTTTAACAGTCCTGCGTTATATTGACATACGGTTACGGACCCTCTCAAATAAAAGACAAATAAAGTTCTCCACAAAAACAGTTGCCTGCATCTGTCAATGAGGAAACGCCACAGTGATCCATGTGAACGCCTCACTAACATCATCCATAATGTAGATCTGCATCGATCACGAGAGTTTAACTGCCCCTGTGTGTGTGTGTGTGTGTGTGTGTGTGTGTGTGTGTGTGTGTGTGTGTGTGTGTGTGTGTGTGTGTGTGTGTGTGTGTGTGTGTGTGTATGTGTGTGTGTGTGTCTGTGTCTGTGTCTGTGTCTGTGTCTGTGTCTGTGTGTGTGTGTGTGTGTGTGTGCAGGAATCGGCCAAAACCGCTGAGGCTCTACTGCTGGACAAAGAAGCCTTTCTGCCCTCTCACAAATTTCTTGTGGATAAAGTCAGAGTGTTACACAACAGTGGTAAGCATGTGTCTGTTTACGTTCACAGATGTGCGACTAAACTTTTCCCTTTCATCTTTCAAGTACAATAAACAAGGACAATAAACTAAAACCATAAAACAAAATGTTGTTACTTGAAATAAATATTAAGTGAAAATAAATTTAAAAAAATAAACTTTGCCAAAGCAGCGTTTCTCATTTTCATTTAGTTTAACTTGTAGTAAAATAACTAAAACTATTTTTAGTTATAGTAGAATTAGAATCAGAATTTTTATTCTATTTTTGTCTATTTTTATTTATTAATAATAATGATTATTAATAATGAAAAACTTTACTTATGTATATACTTTTTAATTCTATATTGTATTTCAATTATACTAGTAATTAAATTAATATTCGATTCGATTCAAAATCGATTATTTTGGATATATATCAGGTACAGTACATGCCAAATTTGCTGTAAAATATATGTTTCTCATTTTCATTTAGTTTAACTTGTAGTAAAATAACTAAAACTGAAATATTAACAATGATACTAAAACAACACTTCCTTGGAGTACCATGTAAATACCATGGTACATGAATATGTTATTCATTTAGAGTCATAATATATGGTACTATGGTAGAAACATATTGACATCTTCACTGCACCATGGTACTGCCACCGTATTTTAAGGGAAATACGACTAAACATTTTATGTGGTTAAATATGTTGTATAATAATGCTAAATAAACTGTATCGATATATATATATATATATAGTTTTTATTCTATTTTTGTCTATTTTTATTTATTAATAATAATGATTATTAATAATGAAAAACTTTACTTATGTATATACTTTTTAATTCTATATTGTATTTCAATTATACTAGTAATTAAATTAAATCCCATTATTAATTTAAAATCTAATGAATTCATGTCAAAATTAGGGCTGGGTTTTGACACAAATTTCACGATTCGATTCGATTCAAAATCGATTATTTTGGATATATATCAGGTACAGTACATGCCAAATTTGCTGTAAAATATACATGAGAGTCAGTTGGTACTACATTATAATATTGAAGGTTAAAATTGACTGATTTGTGCTGTACATCTGCTTAAATCGCACTTACTGACGTTTTTATAATAATTAAGTTACAATTACTTCAGTTAGTTTTTTTTTTTTAAATATACACATTTAAATAGTGGCTGTCATAAAAACTTGAATGGATTTATTCAAACATAAATAAAACATTAAAGAACAGTAAAAAATTAATGAATGTTATATGGTGCACATATTTAGCAAAATGCTCCTCTCTACAGATTATTTTTCTGGCTGACTAACGAGTTTATGGTCACCGAATATGCTTTCTGAGGTAAATGTGATTACATGAATTGTTTACAAGCCGCTTTGCGCGACTGAAACACTGATTGAGCGATTACATGAGACAGGATACGGATTGTAAAATTGTACTCTTTCTTTTAGCTTACCTTCGGATGTTTAGTCATGTTTATTTTGTGCTGAAACTGGTATTAATGTGGTTCTAAGTTCTACAGCGATCTGTCACTCCACAAGTCAACTGTCACAAGTACCAAAGCACAATGCTTATTGAGATTTATTGGATGGGAGGTGCGCTTCAATGTTCCGTCCATTAACTGAAAACAGGGTACACTAATCGATTCTTGGGATTTAAGAATCGATATTGTTTCATAAAAATGAGAATCGAGTCAAATCAAGATATCAATATTTTTTTACGCAGCCCTAATCAAAATTATATTTTTACATAAGTACTACAATTATTTAATAATGCTAAACTGTATAAATGAGTATTTAATATTTTATTTTGACTTTATTTATTTAGTAGCTGTGAAAAACATTTCTGTGAAATTAGCAGCATTTAATATGGCTCACCATGTCAGATTTTAAAGCCATTATCAGTTTTCTCAAGCAAACATGTCTTTTCTCTCTCTGTCTAAGACAAGGGTCACTCTGAGGACTCCAGTAAGGATGTGAGTTGCCCAGCAGGGTCGTATTCCTCTCCTCCAGGAACACTGCCCATAGATGTCCGCACTTCCTCCAGCCCGGGACCGCCCAACACTGACACGCCCTCCTCCATCCACGAACTGCCCCGCCCCTACTCAGTGTCGCCCTTCTCGGGCGAGAAGCTTCCTGGAGATCAGCTCCTGCAGAAGCAGCTCCTGTCTCCGCTCTTCAAGAAAGACGGCAGCTCCATCATGGCGTTCCCCACCGCCCTCTACGCCGCCAAAGCGGCCCTCATGTCAGCCAATCAGAACGCCTCAATGCCCGTCTCCATGGAGACAGGCATGCCAAGTGACCAATCGGAGAGCGGAAGCTCGGGGGGAGGAGACGACAATCAGTTGGACACGGCAGAAATCGCCTTTCAGATCAAAGAGCAGCTGCTGAAACACAACATCGGTCAGCGTGTGTTTGGCCACTACGTGCTGGGCCTCTCACAGGGCTCGGTCAGCGAGATCCTGGCTCGACCCAAACCCTGGAGGAAGCTCACCGTCAAGGGCAAAGAGCCTTTCATCAAAATGAAGCAGTTCCTGTCGGATGAGCAGAACATCCTGGCGTTACGCACCATCCAGGTTCGCCAGCGAGGTGAGTGGACTGAACCAACCCATATATATATATATATATATATATATGTATATATACAGTCAAATCACAAATTATTCAGACACCTTCAAAATTTCTCACATTATCACAGTTTATTCGCTACAGTTTAGAAAAACTGGTAATAAAATATTACAAGATCTCAGAGTCAAACTGTGTCAGAACAAATTCATCTTAATAATGTCAGATAACTTTAAGAGAAAGGTGTGTAACAAAACATGGTCAGGTCAAAGTGTCAAATCAAAGTTTTGGTCCCAAATTTTTAGCAATTTTACTGGTAGTCCACTGTATGAAGAATTTTTGGGTATAATATGTCACAGTTTACTTTATTTTGCTATCCTCATAAATGAAGTGTCCTGCACCCACTAGTAAAAAAATATCAAAAAATATATCTGGTGTCAGAATAATTTTTTGTTCGACTGTGTATATATATATATAGTTTTTGTTCTATTTTTCCATTTGTATTTATTAATAATAAAAATTATTGTTAAATTAAATAATTTTGCTGTATGTATGTATGTATATATATAGTTTTATTCTATGTTTAAGTTTGATAGTAATAGTTAAATTAAATCAAACTATTAAATTATTAAAATATTATATAAATTATTAATTGAAATTAAAATTAATGATCAAAATGAAATACTACATTTACAAAAATGTTATTGAAATTAAATATTCACTAGACCAACATTAAATATATATTTATATGTAAGAAACTACTGTATGTATATACAGTGGTGTGAAAAAGTTTTTGCCCCCTTCCTGTTTTTTTAATTGTTTGCATATTTGTCACACTTAAAAGATTCAGATCATCAAACAAATTTTAATATTACACAAAGATAACCGGAGTAAATACAAACTGCAGTTTTGAAATTATGATTTCATTTATTAAGGGAAAAAAGCTGTCCAAACCTGCCTGGCCCTACGTGAAAAAGTAATTGCCCCCTAAATCTAATAACTGGTTGTGCCACGCTTTGCAGCAACAACTGCAATCAAGTGTTTGCGATAACTGGCAATGAGTCTTTCACATCGCTGTGGAGGAATTTTGGCCCACTCTTCTTTGCAGAATTGTTTTAATTCAGCCACATTGGAGGGTTTTCGAGCATGAATGGACTGTTTAAGCATCTCAATCGGATTTAAGTCCGGACTTTGATTTGACATTGTCCTGCTACATAACCCACAAACTCACAAACTGATGGCCGGACATTCTCCTTCAGGATTTTCTGATAGAGTGCAGAATTCATTGTTCCGTCAATAATGCAAGTCGTCCAGGTCCTGAAGCTGCAAAGCAGCCCCAGATCATCACACTACCACCACCATGTTTGACTGTTGGTATGATGTTCTTTTTATGAAATACTGTGTTGGTTTTACGCCATATATATATATATATATACATACATACATTTTTAATATTTTACATATAAATACAAATTAAAATATTATAAAATAATTAATAATTAATTTTACATACATTTTACCAAAACTTACATGACAATATAGCAGAACATTTTAAGAGATAAAATATTTTAATAATGCTGTACGTTAATAAACTGCATAAATTATCTTCTGATATATTTTATAAAACACTGATATATTTTATAAAATAATATATATATATATTTAAAATATTTTTACATATATGATATTTTTAACTAAATCCAGGTCGATTATATATAAATATATTAAAATATATATATGATAGTATTTTTGTTGGATAAATTTGATTATTTACTCATATTTTTATAGCGCAATATATCAAGCAAAAGATCCTCTTGGAGCAGCATCCTTATTGGTCCTATAGACAACATAGAGGGATCATTTTGCAATACAATAATAATGCATGAATTTTAAATCACAACAAATACTACTGTGATATATGAATACTTTACCATTTAAATAATCATTTCAAAAATACATATTTCTTATACAGAATATCATCTTCATGGTAAAAATAAATAAAAATATATTAAATATACAAAATTTATGTCTTTTACTTTGAGGTGAAATATGACTCTGCCATGTTCTCGGCAGGCTTCATGAGAGATCACACCTAATATTATCCACCTGCTATTTCCTTCTGAACTGATTCCACATTATGGAAGTCAAATGGCTCGTGAGCTGTGTTTCATGTCTTTGACCGATCCCACAAGCCCCATCTGATATCCTGAAGATGTCTCATCCCTCTAAACCCCACCGAACCGCTTCAGACCCCCAGAGAGAAGCAGCCCGCTTTCCTGTACAAGCGTTTCTAGCGCTTCCGCGCTGCCTCCCAAAGCCTGCATTTGTTGTGATGCTCTCAGCTCTGGTTTTGAAAGTCAAGCGTTCACGTGTTAGCGCACCCTCACTTGATGCCAGCTTCTCAAAGGCGGCCATTGATCTAGCAATCAAACGCAAGGCTTTGGAGCTGCTCTCTGATCAGCCCTCCTCTCTCTCCTTTACCCTCTCCGACAGGGAGCATCACTCCTCGCATCCGAACTCCTGAAACTGGGTCAGATGATGCCATCAAGAACATTCTAGAGCAGGCCAAGAAGGAGATCCAGTCACAAAGAGGTGGGTACAAAGACACCAAATAAACAGGCAGTTTCTGAACCTCACACTGCTACCTACACAATAACACACAGCAGCAGTGAAGCGCACTTTGATCTACGCAGCTGCGCATACGTGACTGTTGCACAATTGTTTTGCATAAAGGGATGCCTGATGTGTGTTGGAATCATCTGCTTTTTGTTCAAAATTACTAACTTCACTACAAAAAATAATCAAATTTGAGGAACCAAAATGTGTGACTAGACATTATAAACCTGAATTAAATTAATCACCACAATTTATTTTAAACATAAATATAAAAAGAACCAACATTTTAAGCATACATATATATATAAATGAAATTTAAATTAATCAAAAAAATTGGCAAAAATACATGTCAAATTATGGTCTCTAAAAATATATTCTCTTACTGTCCTATGTAATTTTGCTTCTTTAGTATATTTATTGAAGGATGTTGAGATACAAAAAAAACAAATACAGATTACAAATATTTTCACAGTGTCTTAGAGCATTTAAGATTTTTATAATATTTTTATTATATAAAAAAATATAAGCATGCATAATCATATATTGTTAAGAAAACAAAATAAAAATGTAAAGATGTTCTCTGAAATATACTACTAATAAAATGTATGTCTGCTCTATTTAATTTTTAATAAATCAATTTAAATAATAATTATTTTTATATTAATTTAATATTTTAAATATTATATATAATATTTTAAATATTTATAATGTCTTTAGAATAATGAAATATTTTAAATATTTATTTTATTATTGTATTATCAAATACAAAATATTAACAATTAAATGTACTATTATATAAAGATTTAATATTAATATATAATTTGCTTTTAAGATTAAAATGATTTTAATATTATATTTTAAATATATTTTAATATTAAAATAATTTATTGTTTTATTTGTTATAATTATTTAAATTAATAATTATTTGTCTACACACTTGCTAGTGCTAGTATGGCTATTATAATAATAAATTTTTATAATAATGAAATATTTATTTTATTATTGTATTATCAAACATAAAATATTAATATAATTAAATACCTTTTCTATTATATAAATATTTAATATTAATTTGTTTATATTTTAATATTTAAAGGTCACATATTTTACACCTTTCTGGAGTTTTATTTTAAGTCCTGTTGTCCTTAAGAATATATATTTGTGGTATAAGTACCAAAAACCATCTCAATATATTTTTACAGCTCCTCTCTCAGGAGCTCTGCTGAGAACAGGTCGATTTTGGGGCCAACCACAGGTAACTAGGGTCAGCGACGTCACAGCGCTAGCTGGAGGCAGCAAAACAAAGAGGAAACTGGAGGCGGCCCATTCAAACCAGCGCAGGTTCTGCTACATAAGGAGCTTAAAATATCATCTTGTTGTGATGTTGGGTGCCAGAATCGACGTAATACAGCCTCAAATTAGAAATCTGATCACATATCTGCTGCCACTGCCAGACAAAAAAACGACGACAGCTGTGGTTAAACGCGATAATACGACCAGACTGGACAGAAACGATCGTCAAAAATGCTTGCGTTTGCTGTGCACACTTCTTATCAGAAAAGATTCAATAAAGTATTGTCTTTTGTTGTTATGGGCGCGTCTACAGATTTCTTGCCATATGTCTATGTTTCTTGCATCTCACGACTATGTCGTGTATGAAATAATGTCTGTGTGCATGTGTGCGTGTGTACAAACTGATGATTTATATATAATCATTTGTAATTGTATATACATTCTTGTGATTATTTGTGGCTGGAACGCTGGAACAGTAAAAATAGTTTCCTGCTGAAATTGAAATATATATACATCTTCATCATGACTAGATTAGATAGACACGGTGAGTTTGTCTTTAGTTTACACGTTAGATGTGATCACCTCATAGTAACAATCCTGTCAGATCGTCCATCCTTTGAGTGAGAGTGTAACGTTACAG